TAAAATTATACAATTAAGGGGCATTTAGTGTATTCACAATATTCACAATGTTCGACTCACTCCACTTTCAAAACTCTTTTACCACAGCCCTGGGAAAAATATTCCATGTCCATTAAATAAGCACTTCCCATTCCCTTCATCCCAACCTCAGTTAATCATTAATCTGCTTTCTGTCTCTATGGATTTGCCTATACTACATAAAAGGATTGTATATTACAATCATACAATATGTGACCTTTTGTGCCTGGCTTCTTTCTCTCATCCAAGTAACAGCATGCATCAGTATTTTGTTCCTTTTTATGGTTGAATAATGTTCCACTGCATGTGTATATCACAGGCAGTTTATGCCTTCACCCCATCCACTGATAGACATTTGAGTTGCTTCCACCTTTTGGCTTCTCTTGGTATTTTAACATCCCACTTGTCATCATCCTAGCCCAGGCTACCATTCTCTCACCTGGATTACAGCAACATTTTAACTAACCTCTCTTCTCCACTCCGTTTCTTTCCACACAGCAACTTGAAGGCCATTCCATGCTTGTAGCCCTTCAGAGGTTTTCCAGTCGCTCAAAGGACACTCTGGGTTCAAATCTTCAGCAAGAACTACAGAGCCTGCAGTGAATGTTTACCTTTCTTGTCTACATTTTTTCCCATTTCATTTCACATCACCCTCTCTGCAACTGAATGGTTCCTGCTTAAGTGAACCTCTCTCAATTTCTCAAAACCACCAATACTTCTCTTTCTTCAAGAGAAGTGCACCTACTGTGCTGTGTATCTTCTCTTTGCTGGACTGACTCCTACTTATCCTCTCAAACATCACTTAGATGGGGATGAGATGGTTAGATAGAATCATGACTCAATGGATATGAATTTGAGCAAACTCCAGGAGACAGAGGAGGACAGGGAAGCCTGGTGTGATGCAGTCCATGGGGTCACAGAGTCAGAAACAACTTAGCAACTGAAAAACAACATACAATACCCTACACTTCTTTGCAGCATTTGCCCAACTGTAAATTATTTTTTCTACTAGACCGTAAGCTCCACAAGGGCAGAAACCATTTGTTGCGCTCCTCATGAGAACCTTTCTGCCTAGCACAATGCTTGGCACATGGTAGACATTGATCAATAGTGTTACAGACTGGGGCATGGGCAGAATTAGCAAACTGCCTCTAAAATTTTGGATACTCTCTGAAGGTCTCAGAGTATGTGAACTAAAATGGATACACATACAAACAAACCTTTAGTTATAATTACATTGTTCATACCCTCTCTACTTACCTACCCATCTAAATGGTAGAATTCAGGAAAACAAGACAAAGTTTTATAAATATGGAAATACCCTTTCAAACAGTTCTTTGCTTGTGATTTAAAAAATAACTGATATTTAAGATCACCTAAAACAAGCATACTATAATTGAATAGTTGCCTATCAAAATGTGATTCTCTGACTTCAGTGATTATTCTTGCCTTTGAAGGATCTAAGGGAAAATGTTCTAAAGACACACTTGTAGAGCAAGGAAAAATTCTCATAACATTAATACTTCCATTCTTTCCAGTCTTTATCAGTGTGGTTTAACATGTAAATACAGCTTTTGTTTTCCAAGATTTTACCTACTCTCTTTATTCACTTCTCAAAAGACAGATCAATGGATGAGATTACAGCTCCCTATCATGAAATTAATTTCAGATACTTGAAAAAGCTACTTTTAATCACCACCTGGGGGAAAAGATAAATAGCCCAAGCCAGCTTTTTAGCTGTAGGTACTAAAGATTAGAGGGGAAAATTAGAGAATGTGATAGAATAAAACCTCTTGCTGAAACTGCAGTACCACAAAATTTTTTAAAAGCACTGTTTTTATGATTCTCAATCCCTTTAGGTTAAGAGCTCAGGCACTGAGTTGGTGCAGGAAATAATTTAAATATTAATTTAAATATATTTAAGTATTTTACAATTTAATTGAAAGTGAAAGTGAAAGTGAAGTTGCTCAGTCGTGTCCGACTCTTAGTGACCCCATGAACTGCAGCCTACCAGGCTCCTCCGTCCATGGGATTTTCCAGGCAAGAGTACTGGAGTGAGTTGCCATTGCCTTCTCCGTTGCAATTTGATTACTTGTAGCAATTACACCATGGGTTTTTCACAACTGAGACCATTACAGGCTTTTCATTAGTGCAAAATTAGGAATGTTTCATAGTACATACAAATAAAAGATTAAAAAAAACATTTTTGAGGTACTATGAAAGCAATTTATGAAAAGGAGAGTCATTGGTTTTGTTAAGGTGCTGAGGTAAAGCAATGAAGAACATGTGGACTCTGATTCAAACTATATCAATTATTAGCTGTATGAGCAAGTTACATAGCTTCTGAATCTGTTTATGCATAAAATTGACTACTTCAAAGATTGAGATTGTGAAAAATGAATATAACATTTCTAACAATGCCAGACATACAGTATGGCTTTTCTACCAGATATGCACGATTTCACAGAGTGGTAATTACAGACAAGGTAAAACAGTGAATAGAAGTTTAAATATTTCCAAAAGAATAAAAAACTAGGGGAAAAAATGCCTAATGACTCTGAATTCACATTATCTTTCTCAGTTTGAGTTTTATTCTCTATTGTGTGCTACCATGGCCTCTATTTAGTAAGATGTTTGTAAACTACCGCAAACAATAACAAAAAAGGCAAATAGAAATCTAGGGACTGAATATGAAACCTGCTGACCCAAACTAAGCAAATCCATCCTCTTGACCATGTCCATAACAGTAAGAATCATGCCAAACAGTTCTCCTTAGATTATACTTGTCTAAACATGCACATTGTATATTACAGAAATTGCCTGGTATTGTCAACAGAACAACCATCAAATACCACAGACCAGAACAAGTGGTCTCTTATTATTTTGAGGCTCCATAGATTTTGTAGCAATTCCTTAAATTATATTACATTAGAAAGCAATTTATTTAATAAATTTAAAAAATTATTTGACTGTGTTGGGTCTTAGTTGCAGCATGTAGGATCTTTGATATTTCACTGTGGTATGTGGGATCCAGTTCCCTAACCAGGGATCTAAACCCTGCCCCCTGCATTGAAAGTGCTTAGTTTTAGCCACTGGACCACCAGTAAAGTCACAGCAATTTACTTAAAAAACTGTTGACCAAAGAAACTTCCCACAAGCATTTTGCAACACTAGCTGTTTCTGTGCAACTCTTTGCGACCCTATGGACTCTAGCCCACCAGGCTTCTCTGTCCATGGGATTTTCCAGACAAGAATACTGGAGTGGGTTGCCATTTCCTTCTCCAGGGAATCCTCCTGACCCAGGGATTGAACCTGTATCTCCTGCAGTATGGGCAGGCTGATGCTTTACCACTGAGCAACCTGAGAAGCCCAAACCAAAAATATATTTGTTTTAAAATTTTGCAGAAATGAACCTGCACAATTTAGTTTCTCAAAATTTATTATTTCCCTTCCTTGAGAAGTTTTCTTTTCCACAAACCTGGAAACTAACTTCCTAGGAACTCAAAGAGTCTTAAAAATACATTATAATCCTTCCCCTGCATCCTCCCTAACAAAATAGAAACACTAAATTTCACTGCATCTCATTCACAAGTTCTGATTTTTTTAATATATATTTCATTGTATCTCATTCACAAGTTCTGAGTTTTTTCTTCCAAGCTCTTTATTATCCAATCAAGACAATTCAAATGTATTTAGACACATTTTAACTTCAGTTAACCACTAAGCAGTTTACTATTACATAGTTAAAACATTAACATATCCTAAGTTTGTGTTTTTTAATACAACGTGTTAGGGCAATTGTGCAACATTTTAGTTAATCATATCAAATATCATATTGGAGTTTCTTATTCACATTCTACAAACATCTCTAATTCACAGAATTTCACTTATTTTATAGTTTCCTTAATCAGAGATGTGAAAGCTACAGAAAACTGAAAATGTGCTTTATAACTTCAATAAATTTTAAGAACCTCAGCCATTGCAAAGATCAATGAAATATCTACCAAGGTAAATGAATGACATACCAAGTTAAATGAATGACATTTGTTACATTAAAAATGAGATTTTTCTTTCAAAGTCACCAAAACCATTAATATTCAACCAAAAATTGTTGGAATTTGTAGGGTTTCATGTATGTCTGTGTTTAAATGTCAGGGTGGTATGATTTTCTTTGGATGTAAGGCTGTTGAAAGCTGAATTGTACAAAAGAAATCTTTAGAGAACAGAGACTTGTCTTTACATATTTATTCTCAGAGCCTGCCCTTCATCTCATCTTGGTTTTCCACATTGATCCAATTGTAGCACTTCCTGGAGCGAGCTATGTTCTAATCAGCAACATCAGGAAGAGAATAGGACAAAGCCAAATGAGAAAATGCAGATCTCATGTCATACTCTTTGAAAAGAGTGAATGCTTTCTAAGCTATCAGGAAATGTAAGTCACAATTTAACTTTTAATAATTTTTATCTGCAATGGACATGAACAAGAAATATGGAACGAATCCTTCATCTATTCAATAGGTGCACGATTTCTATTGAGATGAGCACCATGTAGCAGAATTTTACTTTGTTCTCTGTCCCATATAGTTGGGCTGACCTTGAAACCTCATCAGTAGGCTCTTTTGTAGTGATGCTTGGATAATCTCCACTGAATGGTGAATCAAAGGAGATACAACCTAGAGGCACTAAATCACCTAACATTACTTCCTGTTAAGAATTTTTTCCCCTTATAATGCTGAAAAGCTATTGAGTTAAAGCAACCATGCCGACTCCCCAAAGACAATGGTCTAAACCCCCAAATGAAATGGTTGCAATTCTCTTTGATTGCCAAAAAGCAGGAATCAATCACTTAAAGAAAACTAGGTCTGCACGTTGTCACCTCTCCATAAACGTTAACATCCTATGCACTAGTATTATTTGAACATAATTCCCCACGGAATCGAAATACTGGCCAACGGTGGCCACAGGAGTCTTCCAATCCATGCCTACTTTCGGGATTTGGGCGCTTGAGGGACTGGAGGGCGAGGCAATTTGAAATAGACCTTGACCGAGTCGTAGATGAACCACTGCAGGGCAGTCAGGGTGCCAATCATGATGATCCGGGCAAACAGGCCTTTCCACACTCCCTTGAACCCCAATCTGCGGAGAACCTCGAAGGCCGTGCTACCTTTCTCCTTGTTCAAAACGGACACGACGGAATCCGCAGGGTGGGACACCACGGCGCAGAAGACACCAGCGATGTAGCCGGCCACAAAGGTCACGGAAAGCTGCTCACTTTTGGTGCACTGGCTCTGCGGCTTGGGCACCACGTACTTGAAGAGCGCCTCAACCGTGCGCTCGAAGCAGGCGAACTTCATCATGGTGTAGGGGATCTGGCGCATCCAGAGTGGTGCCACGCCTTTGTAGAAGGCCCACAGGCCCTCCTCGCCGTACATCTTGGGGGCCGCTGCCCGGAGCGTGCGGGCATAGCCCTGCTGCGTCTGCATGCGAACCTTCACTGCTTCCATAGGGGCCAGGGCCACGTCGGCGAAGAACTCGGCGCTGGCCGAGGCGGCCAGGTACAGGCCGGTTCTCCATTCATAGGCCTTCTTTTGGCCCAGGAGCTCCGCGTAGCGGATTTTGAAGACCTCGTAGAGGCCGAACTTGAAGAGGCCCTGCATGGAGTAGCCCAGAAAGGTCGGGGCCCAGCCTCGGGCCAGGCCGCGCAGTCCATCGTCCCGCAGTGTCACGCCAAAGCCGCTCAGGATGCCCTTGTACTTGCTGGGGTCCACCTGCATGCGGCACTTGACCAGGTCCAGGGGCACGATGGCCGTGTGCGTCAGCCCGCAGCTCAGCATCCCGCCCAGGCCGCAGAGCAGTAGGTACTTCGTGGAGCCGTACTCGTAGTTGGACTCCTCAAAGGCTGCTGCCCAGGGCCTGCCCTTGAGTTGGCCCGCGCTTCTCCCCTGCAGGGCTCGGTAACCGCCAGCATCACACATGGCCGCGCTGGGTCTAGGAACACACTTCCCTCAGCCTGAGCTCTTTCCTCCCTCAGGGCCCCAGAGCACTGCGCATGCGCCTGAACTCCCCCCTCCCCAACACCCCCCGCGCGAGCTTGCTAACCCAACGGTCTGAGCGAGGGACAGGTCCCGCCAGAGCCCAAAGGACTTCGACCGACCACTCTCTACCGATGCCTGCACACCTCCTACCGGCTTGGCTGCCTTTGGATCGCAACTGGCTCCTGAAATTTTAAATAGGGGCATCGCCCCGCCCCTCACCTCCAGAACGGCCCTTCTCCCCGCCCTCAAGCTTTTGGGCGAATAGGCTTCTGGTAACGACAGGAACCCCGCCCCTGAACTCTCCTCAGCTTCCTCCTCAGCGATCCCTAGGTCTCACCTTCCGTGGTAAGGCTTTCCGTGCCTAGTCAGGTGGCTTCTGTCCAGTTCAGCAGTTTAGTCTTCTACAAAGATGCTAAAAAAATAAATCAACAAGTACCAACATGAGTAAACACATGAATAGGCAAGTAAGTAGATGAGGAGATGAGTGACAGGGTGAAGAGTCGCCATGCACTCTTTCAGGAAGAGTTGCCTTCCTGAAAGGCCTTTCTGGAGTCCTCACTCAAACAGCCCGCTTATGGTAATGATCATCTCCATGACCACAGAATGTTCTATGGAGGGAATGCACAGAGAGAACCAGGAACCTGGCATTAGAGGACCAGTCCCTGAGCTTCCAGCCTTACCTAACATTCTTACAGCGCAGACAGAGAGGATACCTCTCCCCCAAACCCACACTCCACTCATTTCCCTCCAAGAGTTATTGTGGGGTCTTAGGAAGGATGGAGGTTCTCCCTAGATTGAGAGAGGGATGCTGATTATTTTCATTCATTCGATGTTTTTTCAATGACTACTGAATCCCTGCCATGATTTTGGAGACTAGGAAAGTGAAAAATCCTCTTTCCTTTTAAGGGAACTTGTAGTCTCATTGGTCTGGAAAATGAGAACTAAATGATTCTACTTGTAAATCAGTAGCATATATTCATACATTCGTTCACTGTGTGCTGGGCCCTATGCAGGGTTAGGGGTTTAGCAAAGAGTCACGCATATTCTTTAAGTGTGAAGTATTAGTCACACAGTCGTATCTGACTTTTTGTGACCCCCATGGATTGTAGCCTGCCAGGCTCCTCTGTCCATTCAATTCTGCAGACAAGAATACTGGAGTGGGTAGCCATTCCCTTCTCCAGGGAATCTTTCCCACCCAGGGATCAAACTAGGCCTCTTGCATTGTAGACAGATTCTTTGCCATCTGAGCCACCAGGGAAGAAATATTCTTGCTGACATCTAAATGAGGAGATTAAAAAATCAATATTGTGTGATAAGCAAAATATCCCATGATAATGAAATCAGGGCTTCCCAAATTATGTTCCTGGGAATATTGGTCCACTTGAAAAAGGTGAGTGGTCCAACAAGTTTGAGGGACATTTCATACTAGAGTATTCATTCTCAACTGAGGTAATATCATCCCCCAGGAGGTGAAAATTGGATCTTAAAGGGCAAAAAATCTTAGTACAGTGGTTTGTGACCTTCCAAAACTCAACTCTACCCAACAAAATCATATTCCTTGTTATTTAATTTCCAGGTTGGGAGAGGAGCTCAGGGAGGGTCAGGGAGATAGAAAAAGGCCATTAGAGGAAAACAGTCTAAAAAGGATCATGGGGAAGAAAGGCCAGTAATGAATAAAAGGTTAAGGAACACTAGAGCTTCTTCCTGGAGATTTCCTTATTAAAGAGAAGTTCCATAGTAAGAATTTTGCTTCATTAACTTAGTGCTCTCTAATCTTACTGGATCTTAGAACCCCTTTTTTATATTACTCCTATTCACATTGCACAGATGTAGTCTTCCATGGAGACTATTTTGGGAAATGCTGGACTCTATTAAAAAAATGAAGTTTAGAGAAAACAAGGGATAAAGAGGACCAGAGTAATAATAGCAGCTACCATTTACTTAGGCCTCCATTTCCGAAAGATACAACATGTATGTTTTGCTAACATGTAACACAGGTCACCAGTTATTTTATGAAAGCTGAGATTAAATCAATTTATCTCATTTGTATGAGATACTTTTTCTTTACCATTAAAATACTGCAAAAGAAAATGTACAAGTTGAAGAAACCAATCTAGAAATCCTCAGGGCCAGAATTTTCTTAGACATTCTCAGTTCAATAACTAGGCCATAAAGTCAGAAACAACTGGAAGTAGACTGTAAAAATATTTTGACATTATAGAGCATACAACCACTATGAAGTTGATCTCCTTGGTACTTTTGTAATCTAGGCCAACATTTCTGTCTTGAAATCATTATTACACTTTTGCTGTGTTCTCCCTGCTAGCTTGAGTTGAACAGTAGGTCTTTCCACAGGGCCAGATTTAGACTTTTATGTTCTCTTATTTGTTATACTTTAAAAAAGTTAAAATGTATTCATTCACCCAACAGTAGGTTCTATTATGTGTCAGGGCACATTTTGAATTAATATACCAAAGCAGAGCTAATGACCCACATTGTCCCCAAACAGAATTTTCATAATCTCTAAAACAGAATCACATAGTGCCCAGATAAAACAGGAAACACTCCTGAATACCTGCTCTTTGCCAAGTGATTTAAATATCTCTAATCCTTACAGTGACAGTACAAGATATTTTTCCCGTTTTACAGATGTAAGTGGCAGACAATGTGAAGAAAGTAAAAGTGAAAGATGCTCAGTCACTTCCAACTCTTTGCAACCCCATGGACTGTAGCATGCCAGGCGCCTCTGTCCATGGAATTCTTCAGGCAAGAATATTGGAGTGGAGCCATTCCCTTCTCCAGGGGATCTTCCCAACCCAGGGACTGAACCCAGGTTTCCTGCATTGCAGGCAGATTCTTTACCGTCTGAGCCACCAGGGCAGACACTATAGTCTACTCAAAAGTCGATAGCCCATTTTTCTTTGCTATAGAACTCTGTTCAGGTATGTGGCAAACATCCTTTGAATTCTACATCATATTTGCTCACTCATGACATTTCTCAAGATATTTTAACTTGGATATAAGGTATTTGATTTTTTGCCATAAATACTCAGGTCCATTGATGGTTTCTCTACTCCAATCACACAAATATATATCTGAGCACGATGTCTTACCCCTGTGTCCATGTCTTGATGTATGTCTTTCCACTTTCCTCTTTTACTTCATGTCATTTTTCAGAATCAGGGGCAAAGAATGTATGCCAGAAAACTTTCCTTTATTAACCCACCTTCTTTGTGTTTTTCTAGTAATTACAGTTTTAGGTAGTTTGCCAGATATTCATTTGTATTTAGTCTGGACTGAAAAATTGCCATTTTTAAAAACTATAGGAAATACTTCAAACAAGACTGTAAGAACACTGCTTGCTTTGTTTATGTATCAGGTCATGGTTCAGTGTCATATCCAGTCTCTGTGGGTGTTGGCCAACTCAATTATCAGTGAGAGTGAACTGGAATAGCTGCTTGAGTCATTTTCTTAGCTTTAACACATACGGTGAACTTCATCCCCCATCATGAATCTCTATATCCATCATAAACATTTAGAGAATATAGTTTTGGGTATGTCATTTTTTAAAAAAGCACATGAAGGACACTGAAATTAACAAATTTAAGTTCTTAGGAACTGAATGGGAAGGGCAATTGAATGTTTATTAAGCACTACTATGTGTAAGACATGTATAAGGGGGAAAGTCACATGCTTTGGGCAGAAATAAATTATGAGTTAACCTTTTTTTTAGTTATGTGAACTTAGACAAGTTATTTAGCCCTTTTCTGAGCTCCACTTCTTTATTTATTTCAAACATCTATAATTAAGACTAATTATAACCTTTTAGAGTTGTTATAAGAGATAATGCACACACACACACACAGAAACTAGCCCAGCGCCTGTGAATTAATGAGCATCCCATGAATGTCAATTCTGTTACTCCCCGCTGCTTTTCTGGCTCTCCTTGATCCTCTCAGAATCCATGTTTCTGTGAGGTCACAGACTCTGCTCTTTCCCTTTCACTTGAGTGGATTATTCATTCATTTAACTATAATAAATTCCAATTGACTTAGATGGTTTAGGACAGGAACTGAAGAAATCCTAAGTGGCAGAAATGTGAACTTCTTTGACAATGCCCCAGGATGTGTGAGGCCATAAAACAAGTAGGACAGAGACTGCTCTCCTGTGGCTCAGCAGGTTGGGCCGCAGAGAGGAACAGAAAACTGGACAGCCTTTCTCCTCTTCCAAATTGATTCTTCCAGCCTAGGGCCTTAATTCAGTTGAACTCTAGCTAGGGCTACCAATTCATCCCAGTTTGTCCCAGGCTTTCCTGGTTGCAGCACTCAAAGCCCAGTGTCCCCAGAACCCTCTCAGTCCCAGGCAAATCAGGACAGTTGGTCACTGTACTTAGAGGAGCCTAAGTTGTGCCTGTGGCTTTCAGCCACTGCCAGTGTGCTCCGGTATAAGAATCACTGGCCTTGGAGCCAGGCAGCCCTGGGCCCAAATCCTGGCTCATTCTACTACCAGCTTTGAATCTTGTAAAAGTTATTTCTTGAACCTTAGTTTCTGTATCTATAAACCTCATTCTATTATCTTCTGAATTTGTAGTGAACTTCATATTATTATTAAATTAAATGATAGCACAGTGCTTGCAATGTTATAGGCCCTCAATGAATGTTAGGTCTTTCCTTCCTGACTGACTTCCATATACTTAAGAAGGTTTCATTATCCCTTGAGGCACTATGTCTCTAAAAATCCCTGATTCAAGGAAGGGGGTGGCCATTGGACAGTAGGGGGCACTGTTGCCACTATTCCTATCTTTCTACCCGCTTCTCTGCATCCTCCATCCTCATACCAAAGCAAGGAAGTTTTAGTAAACCACTGATCAAAGACGGCCAAGCTCTAAATCCACACTTGGTTTTAACTTATCTAAATGCGTCCCACATGCCTGCAATAAT